AAAAAAGACACAATTGCAACTTTTTGTGCAAGAGAGGGAGAAGGTATAGTTTTACTAGGGAAGATGCAGAATTACCCAGGCATTAGTGTTTTTATACATTGCATTTCTTCATGTTAGCTTAGCTACTGTTTTCTGACAAGTTGTCGTGTAAGAGGTTCGGGCGTTGTCCACTGTGTGTTGTACACTAGAGCAGGATGAAACGTATATACATTTAATCAAAAGCTCTGAGAGTTCTTCCATTCCTTGTTTCGTATGTTCTTTGCTAATTGTAATTTGTTTCTGTCATGCAAGGGTTAAGTTTGTCAAGGTGAAAAGAGATCATACTGCTTCTCTTTTTGTCTGTTCTTTGCCTCTTTTTTCTTTTTGTTATATGCTTAAGATGGATGAAGCTACAAGTTTTTCTGTAACTATATAGCAGCTGGCTAATCGATAATGTTTTGTAAGTGATTCAGAAGAAATTTGCGAACAGTGAATCTAGGCAATTTCTTTGATATCACTTCTTACATCAACAGTGGTGGTTTTGTATTTACTTTGAGTTTTAGCCTACAACATTCGGAGTAGAAGTTCTGTTTAGGGAGGAAAATTTCAGGCTTCTCTGCCGCTACTTATTCACTTATTAGACAAACCTTACCTAGAATTGAAGAAAAAAACAAGAAAGACAAAATAGGATGGGTAGCGACTTTTTGTTTTTCCCCTCTATAAACAGGTTTGCTATTTGTTAGGGCTGAGCAAGAGACTTGGAGAATTTCGAACCGTTTAAAAAACTGAATCGAAATCACTCCGAACCGAAAACTATTCGTTGATCGTTTGACTTTTTTCGAACTCAACCGAGCCAAAAAAATAATCGGTATGGTTATGGAGATTTCCCCAGATATCCGTACTGAGAACCGAATTGAACCGTCTCATAGCTACCGAACCGAAATTAAGAACCGGATTATAAAAATAGATGTGTGTTATTAATACATCTATCATTATATAAAAAGAATAACTTTTTTGATTTCCCACTGCCAAAATCATTTAATGTATAAATGCGGCGCTGGGTTTTTTTATGGTTCCCTTTTTCCTATTTTATAGGTTAACAAAATAACAGATTGTGTTGATATTATATTAAAATCTATCATCACAAATCATATTAAAAAAATAATTGATAGCTTATAAAATCTCATAGCATAAATCTACAGAGTTTATCTCTTATTTGTTACAAAATCTCATTGTACGTCTCACGAGTTTAAAAAATCTCATACTTATTGATGAGGATAGTTGATGAAGATAGAATTATTATTATTATTATTATTATTATTATTATTATTATTATTATTATTATTATTATTATTATTATTATTATTATTATTATTATTATTATTTAATANNAAAAAAGAAACCAATTCGTAATTACTATTAGAAATCAATTATCTTTAAAAAGAAAAAATAAAATAAAATACAAATCAATTCATAATTACTATTAGAAATCCATTATCTACTCTAAAAAATTAATTTTCATCGTTCTAATTACTAATATTTTTACAAATATTATAAGCTAACAATACATATAACAACGTAAAACTAAATATAATAATAATTGTGTAATCAAATTTTTTTAGATAGAAGTAGCGCCATAAATTCGGTATCATCTGACTTAGTGTGTTTATTAAATTAGGCTTGTTAATTTTAAATACTTTAAACAAATTGTTTAGATATTTTTTTTTTACATATTTGTCTATATATACTTACATATATATATATACATACATATACACATATACATAATTTATATTAAATTTAAATATTTGTAGACATGTTTTCTTTACAAAATAATCTAAAAACAATCTTTTTTACACAATGTTAAATTCAAATATTTTTAGATATGTTTTCCTTCTAAAATTGTTTAAAAAAGTTGTAAGTGACTTCATATCTTTAAAAAATAATACAGAGAATTTGAATACTTTTACATATACTAATATAATATTTTAGGTGTTTTTAATATTAAACATACAAATTTTATATTCTCTTGTACAAAATAATGTAAAATTTATATTCTCTTAAACAAAATAATTTTACATTGTTTGATCCCGAATCTTTAATTTATAATTATTAAGTATTGTTTATCCTCCTCTTTAATTTATAATTATTTTTTTCTTCCTCTTTTTAAATAGGATAAATAGTAGTTTCCACTTCCGCCATTGGATGACTCAAACTCGAGGTCTCTTTATAATATTGTTAATTTAATATTGTTCCCGTGCATCGCACGGTGTACACACTAGTTTTATATCAACTTTGACCCTATATAATTTGAGTATTTATAAAATGCAAGTAAAATATAGTAATAACAATTAAGCTCCTCTTAATTTCATGTTTTGTAATACTTGATTTACAATTGAATTTTTCATGTTTTAAAAAGAAAAATATTTAAAATTGAATGAAATGTTAAAGAAATATTTATTTTAAAAAAAATATTCAAACATTACATAAATTTGTGGAATACTTAGTTTTATTCTATCTTATAACTAACATGGCATGAAAGGTTAAAGAAATATTATTTTCATAAGAAAACTTTATTATATTTTGTTTGAATTTTAAATTTTCAATTTCAGTTGCACAAATATAAAGTTAACTAGAATTTATTTAAAAATAAAATATTTAGTATGATGAATGTTGGATTTAAGAAAAAAACATATAAAAATTAAAATATAACTAGGTGGTCATTAAAAAAATTAAAAGTACCTAAAAATCTCTGAATATAAAAAATAAATCGAAAGATAAAAGCCTCTGAACCGACCCGAACCAAATTTTTGGTACTGTTCCCGAAATTAAATTTTAGTAATTTCCGAATACTGGTACGATTTCGGAGATTTATTAATTTCCAAGCCGTACCGACCCATACTCGCCCTTATTATTTGTCTTCCCAAATTACTATACTAGTTGTCCGAAAGAAATCATAAAAAATAATATATTTACAAAAATATCTTTGTGGCAATCCATGATAACAAATTATAGTTTTAAATAAATTAAAAAACTCATACTCATTTAAAGACTTTTGAATAACTCAAGAATTTTAAAAATATTAAAAAAAAAAAATCTAAAAATCAAATATACTAGAATTTTTGAAATAATAAAAAAATCTTTATAGATTTCAAAAGAATACACCTCTCTTTTTAAGATTAATTTTCCATGAGTGCAATACCCATGTACAACATTGATGGTGTTGAGTTAAAAAATATATGATGAAGTTATTGATGTCTAATATCAAACTTAACTCCAGACAAAAAATAAAATAAAAACAACATCACGAAATATAATTTTTTGCCATGTCAGCATCCGAAGCGTGAGAAGCTGCCACTTAAGGGGGTGTATTCAATTTAAACTTTTAGAGACTTTTTAAGACTTTCAGAATTCTGGTGTATTCAATTAGAACTTTTAGAGACTTTTTAAAAGTTTACATGTATTCAATTGTAACTTTTAAAGTCTTTTAATAAGTCTTTAAAAGTCTCAGTATATTCAATTAAAAGTTTCTGATAGTCTCTATAGTTATGTTTTGAATTAATACATATGGAAGGATTTTCCTATTTGTTTTTTTTTGTTTTGACTTTGAAGAGCTCTTTTCTACCTTCAACAACTCTCTCTCTCTCTCTCTCTTTCTCTCGGCGGAAACCCTCAAAATACAGCAAAAATCTCTCACTCATATTAATCTCCAAAAAACAGAACGAAAAAAAAAAAAAAAAAAAAAAAAACAGCGATGGGGATCATCGGAAACCTCAATTCAGACCAGCTGCAGTTCTTCGACTCCGAAGGTTACTTGGTGTTCGAGTCTTTTGCCAGCCCAGATGAGGTTAACTCTCTCAGGTCGAAAATGGAGCATTTACTCGACCAATTTGATTGTTCCAGCAGAGCCTCCATTTTCTCTACCAGAAACCAAGTAAGTACAGAGAAGAAAAATCTCATCTTGCTCAAAAATCTCTTAATTTCTAGTGTTGTTATGTAATCACGAATTAGCTAGTAATCAAAATTGACCCTTTCTTATTTTAAATTCATGTAGCGACAAACGACGGATGATTACTTCTTCGAAAGCGCTGAGAACATTTCCTTCTTCTTTGAAGGTATGAGTTTACTGGCAGAAAGATTTTTGTTTTGGGGGTTCATTCATCTACTGTTATATTGAAGTTTGTAAGATTAGAGAATCGGGGCAAGAGAGTGCGGTCCTACGCATATCAAGCTCACCATTAGAGGGTGAGCCTAGGTGCACCATAGTGAGGTTTTATCCCAAAACTAATTGGTGATGGGAGGAGTAGCTCACTTGGCTTATATACTAGGCTCATTTTCCCATGTAGAATCAATGTGGGACAACTCACAAGTGATACTCCAACAAAGTTCAAGTACCTTAATCATGTTAAAATCGATGAACATTGTTTGAGAAATTGTCTTCTTCCTGTTACCTAAGTATGTCGATGTTCATGAAACGGGATTTAAGAATACGATGTTATGATGTCTGTGTGTTGCCTTAAAAAGGCTGTTGTGTTATGAATATAATTTAATAAAATTATTTGTGTAGTACATTTTTCGTGTCTAAGTCAAAAGGTTATGCCATATATTCATCTGCTTATTTGATCGTGTATGGTGTTATGTACAATTCTTTGATCTTGATGCAGTATCTTATTGTTCCATTTTACTAAAACTGGCTGCTGGACTCATATTTAGTTGTCTTTCTGTGTGTTGGTTGGAAAATTATTTGCTCTGCTAGATTCTCGTTTTCTTTCTAGTTCTGAATGACAGTCTTTTGGTGTTCTGTTTTCTTTATGCGAAATAAATACTGTATTTTTGTAAGGACCTTTCACGTGAATGTAGTTCTATTTATGCTGTTTATTGTAAGTAATTTGATATAATTGGCCTGTTGTGCTTTGTTGAATGCATCATTTTCTGTTTTGACAGAGAAAGCATTTGATGATGACGGCAACTTGAAGCAACCAAAGCAACTCTCCATAAACAAAGTTGGTCATGGTATACTTGATTGTATCTTGTATTAATTTTATTTTACAATGATTCTCTTTTCATCTCCGAGTCTTTATGTTGTGTCTGTGTTCTCATGCAGCATTACATGAAAAAGACCCAGTGTTTAAAAGCTTCTCTAGCTCAGAAAAAATGTCGAGTTTACTTATGTCTATCGGTTACAGAAGGCCCGTAATTATACAGTCCATGTATATTTTCAAGGTACCCTTTTTTTTCCTTTTTCTTCAAGACCATAGATTTATCAAGTTCTTGGAAGTCTCTAATTTGATTTTTGCTAATCCAATCCAAACTTTAGACATTTTAATTTGCAAGGAAGTCCTTGGTTGCTTACTAGTACTTACACGTGCGTTCGCATGATTTTCATTTTATTTTTTTCAGCAACCTGGAATTGGTGGAGAGGTGGTCCCACATCAGGACAATTCATTTCTGTTCACCGATCCACAAACGTGCACGGGACTATGGCTTGCACTAGAAGATGCAACAATCACTAATGGTTGCCTTTGGGCTATTCCTGGATCTCACAAAGGTTCTTACTTTGTTCGCATTTCACATAATTGCTCTTTTCTGGTTTTCATCTGCTGTTAGAATCCTGTTATTTGTCATTAAATAGAGTGCTTAAGTCCACGCAGGACAAAGACAATTTTCTTAGTGGAAAAAAGAACATTTTCAGTGATGTCAAATGGCGATTTTCTGCTTTTGGTTCTGTAATTCGTTTAGAATCAAAGTGCATGGGAGGTTTAACTCGGACTTTTGGCTGTGATTGGCTGAGAAAATATTTTTTACCTTAGAAGTTAATATGGCCAATGATTTTGGAAATACAAGATTTGATTATTCGTATTTTTTTCTCCCTCAATCATACTACAGTTTCCTGAAAACGACCAGGTCACTAATATGTATTTACCCAACAATATTTTCTAATCACCAACTCTATATTACCCATTATTTAGATTATAATTTTAACTATCATCATCAATTTCTCATCTCAACACGACAATTAAATCCACCTCAAAACATATTATTAGTTTCAAAAAATAAGTTTTTCTGCGTCGTAATCTATAAAAATGAGTGAATGATGCACTCTCTTATCTATTTTTTGCCAACTCAACTGACCCAACAAAATCACTTATTCCAAAAGCAGAAGTTGCGGAAAATGATCCTTAAAGTTATATTCTTTTCTCATATTTAGATGGCCTCGTGAGGAGATTCATTAGAGACGAGAGTGGGGTCCACTTTGATAAGCCATCCCCATCTTACGACCAGAAAGACTTTGTCCCGATTGAAGTGAAAGCCGGCACCTTAGTTGTCATTCACGGGGACTTGATTCATCAGAGGTCATTTCACTAACCATATCTCATAGAATTTTTTGTTGAGTTGAGTTAAGTTAAAAGGTTGCATAATCATTTTTTATTTTATTTTATATGTTTCTATTGATACAGTTTTGAGAACAAGTCCTCAACATCCCGGCATGCCTACAGCCTTCATGTGGTGGATACTGATGGCTGTAAATGGGCTGAGGATAATTGGTAAGTGGCGTAAATAAAGTTTTTATCTACTTATTTTGCCAATTCGGCGGTTAGTGACGAAAATTACTGTGATCTCTTAAGTAGTTAAACTCCCTGAACTCATATAGAAGCAATAATCATGATAATTACCAAATATGACCACAATGTCTCTACTACCTTTATAAATTTTACGAAAATTTCCACCAATCACGTTGAGTTTAGAAACTTGAAAGAATACATCGTCAAGATAGTTGGAATTTATTTCGGAAGTTAGCTGTTCGTCTTTCAAGTTAGAATAAGCCTTCAGTTGAGTGATCGCTTGTTTGCCCCTCTGTGCCAGAAAAAAAAAAGTGAATAAATAAAGAAACATTAAACCATTTTTTTTTTATTTAATTGTATTAATTTGCAACTCTTAGCTCATTTTGCATTTCCTTCCTCGAAAAATTTACTTATTTCACATGAATTTTTCTGTACCTACAACCATAGCTTGCTCTGCTCGAAAATGCTCGAGTTCTGATCTATTACCAAACTGTATTTTCTTTCTCCTTTTTTTGTAGGATCAAAAGAAAAGTGGATCCCGAGCCTTTGTACGCTTCGTGAGAAATATTCACCAGGGTTCGGTTTTACATTAGCTCGAATAATGGCATCCTTGACGATATATATATTTTTTTCATAGTAACATCGTTAAAGTTGATCGACTGTCCTTTTTTTTTCGTTTCTTTTTTTTCCTTTCTTTCCCTTTTTCTCTTCATCTTGTCACACAGTTTCTTATTAACTTTCAACATCCTAATTGAATCTTCATGTATTCAAGTTGTTTGCAGTGTTCTGTTCTAAAGGTCGTTAGGCGCCCACTAGGCGTTGATCTAATTGAATCTTCATGTATTCAAGTTGTTTGCAGTGTTCTAAAAGTCGTTATGCGCCCGTTAGGCGCTGGTCTAATTGAATCTTCATGTATTCAAGTTGTTTGCAGTGTTCTAAAAGTCGTTAGACGCCCGCTAGGCGCTCGACCAGCGCCTAGCTCCTAGAGCGCCTAACAGGGTCCTAGGCAGCGCCTAGTCGAGGCCTAGAAATCAATATTAAATATTTTATTTTTTATTTATTTTAACTATGTATAAAGTAAAATTATCTCAATTATAATAAATTGATACACTATGTCCAAATAATAAAATTAATATATTTTAAAGAAAATATTAGAATAAAATGATGTAATTAGTATTTAAAAAAAAAAACTCACAAATTGTTGTTGCGCCCGCTTAGGTGCCGCCTAACCGCCTGGCTGCCAAGTCTGCTTAGAAGCGCCTAGGGCTGCCTAGCGGCTTTGTCGATTTTTTTGCCGATTCGTGCAAATCGGAGGTATCTGGGCACTGCCTAGGCGGCCGTCTAGGCCAATTTTCAGAATAGTGGTTGTTTGGGTATTTTTTATGGTCTTTTAATAATTTATAACATTTCTACATGGTTTCGAAGCCAAGGTGATATGCGTGCTTTATAAGGGCCTCCGCCTAACTGACCAGAAAATAAAAATAATGTGCTTATTTTTTTTTAAGACTGTGGTTAGGCAATTTTAACGGTTTGACAATTATATATTTTTCAGTTAGTATAAAAAATAACATAAATAACATGAACGAAAGTATGTCATAATATGATAATTTATTTTATGTTTAATTTTTGACGAATTGCTTGCTTAACCATTAGGTAGTTTCACGCAATTTATAACTTTTAACGAGCATGTATATTTTGTAATGTTATATGAAATTTTTTATCAATAATGTTATCTGAAAAAATTATTAATAAAAGTACTAATGTTAATATGATATTTTATCATATAACTACTTTTTAGCTAAAACGGTAATGTCTGATATTTTATAATAAAAAATACTACTCTTTGGTTAAAAGGTATATTTTGTATATTCTTTAGGTTGTCTTGCACAATAATTTATGTAGGCATATTTGTTGTTATGATCTTGTTCGTGTAACCTAGTGGATGGGTCTTCTCATAGATTTTGAGATGAGCTCCGATCTATCTGAGCCGTCTCTAGATCGCCACGAACACTTACGAGAACTCAACGCCAAAAGGGTTCCGGCGTAGAGTTTCCGATGCTTAAGCGACTATCAAGAAGGGAGCAAAGTGCTCTGCAGATAGAGCAACAACAGAATATGGAATGTGTAAAAGTTAGGGTTTGGTCATACCTCATCCCTTTTTATAGGAAAGAAATACTTGCCCGGACCCCCGGTCAGCCTGCCAGTTGCCCGGTTTATCTATCCTATTAACTTCTTAGTCAGATTTGAGTCAGTTTAAGGTTCCATCTTATCCTTTTAAAGATTCCTCTTTATCCATTGGTGCTGAAGTACTCTTAGTTATTGCGCTCCTCGGGCTTCGAGGCGCAAGAAGTCGACCTCGAGAGATAAAGGGCCGACTTAGGACTGAGGTAATCACTATCTTGAGGCATCCTGCTACTTGTGCTTTGCTCGTCTCTGAGTCCATGATGCGAGTCGACCCTCGAGATTAAGGAGATCGACCTCGAGTAAAAACCATCATATTGCAGGGCGAGTGAGGCCGACTTCATCATGTTCATAATGATGAGGGGAGCTATCGTCTTTGTTTACTTGTCCTCGGACCTCGTGAGGCCCTTTAATTATTCTCCCTCGATGTCGAGCTGTTTCTAGAGATTGAGTTCCTCTCTTCAAATCGTTATCGTCCTCGCCTCCATTAACTCGAGTCGTTATGTCTTGCTCACGTCGACATATCATCAATAGCTCGTGCTGGTATCCGGTCGAGCTTTTAAGTTTTGAACAATGTCTTTTAAGTTTTAGCTAAGCTAAAAAAATACAAACAAATGTAAGATCCAAACATTATCTCTTCATCAGTCTTTGTCATAATCACGCAGACACACAATAAAATATTAAAATTAGGCTGTGAAAAATGAATATTTGATAAAGAAAACGACCAAACATTTAATTGAGCCGACAATACGACCTATATATAATACATCTTAAATCCTCAGACTGTTAAATCTACTTGATGTGTCACTTTCTTCTCTCTCTCCACGCCAAAGTTTATGTACAATAAATTTAAATAATGCTTTAATATTTACCAATTTAATGTTATTATTATTCAAATTTTTTCAATAAATATTTTTTTTAATTTTCTTTTCTGGATTAATTAATTATTTACAAGTCAACCACAATAAAGCAAAGATATATAATATAATACTAGCGACAGTTATATAAAAGTCAGGCAGATCATGCAAATTAATACAAATGATCCATATACTTCATATAATTCTATGCTACAATATTGTCTTATAGACCGATTTCTGGCTCATGATCGAAACTCGAAAAAATCGTCAATAATTTATCGGAAAAAACTCGAAAAACCGAATGGGCGCCAATTTAGTCCCCAAGCTCGAACCACAATTTTCTTCTTCACAATCACTCTCCTCGATTTCGGCCTTAACAATGCTCGAATCGTAGCCCCTCCCGACTGGAAAAAGCTGTAGAGTTTTCCGATCGTTTCCCTTCGTAATAATCCTGCTCTCGACATATTCGAATCCATAGGATAATATTTCATTTTCTTGGGCAGGAGCTTTAATGTAATTATTAGGTGATAGTAATAAGTCCAATTTGCAGAATGTATGGGGACCCTTTTGTAGCTGCTGCAATTCTTTACAGTTAATATGTGTACACTTTCCTTGTCTGCCTTCTTCTCCTTGCATTGATGCAGTGCACTGCAAAAAAATATTTAAAAATAAATAAATATATATATATATATTAAAAAAATAAATACACTGCCTAGTAAAAATTAGATTATTTTATTTTATTTTATTTATTTATTTACAAACAGGCCCATATTGAGAGGGGCAGCTTTTTAAATGGGGGCTTTGTATTATTTGTTTTTCCCCATCATGCAAAAGCCTTGTCTCATTTTGCATTCAATTCTTTGACCTTTGTGTTGTATAATTGGCCCATAATTTTGTCTCTAGTTTTGAGTTTCGTGCCATTGAAAATTAAATAAAACTAATTTTGCTTTATTTAGTATGAAATAAATTAAATTAGAAAAAAAAATAGCTAGTTAATAAAAATCTAATTTCCAAAAGTGGCCATTTGTAAATTTAAAGTTTTTTTTCTTTTCTTTTTTTAATTTGCAAATTTGGGGATATTGCTTTTGTAATTAAAAAACAGGAAATGCTACAGTCTCGTTACGAAATCATTTCGTCGAGATTTGTAATCATCGGGATAGTCGATCTAACGATTACAAACTTTGCGAAACCGTAAAATCTCCAAAAAAAAAAAATAACATAAACAAAAGTATGACATCT